GCACCGTCACCGGCAACCTGATTTAGCACCGTCACCCACAACCTTAGCACCGTCACCGACAACCTTAATTTGCACCGTCTATATAACTACATTATAATTAGCACCGTCACCGGCAACCCGATTTAGCACCGGCACCGACAACCTTCAATAAAAACAAAGTTAACTTTCAACGCTTGGTTGTGATTATCAGACACATTTTAGCTTCTATTCAAATTTGATACTTTCCAACTTTGCCAACCCAACAATCCGTCGGTTCTGTTGTTGCTTTTGCTTTTATACTTCCGACTGACCAATGGCAGAGCTTGTTACATATTGTTTACCAATCGGCAACCATGGATCACACAAGGGAAATTCCCGTAATGTTGATATCATTTGTAAACATGGATTGATCTTCATCAATAAAGATGGGTTTTGATTTTAAATACATTAGTAGATCATTAGAAGAGTTTTATTTGAGTTTATATTCTAATAAGGTAACTACCGCGAAAATATGGAATCAGTACGTGAAATAAAACTTCTTAACAAACTAACATACACAAATCTGTCGTATCATTGAAACAACCGCCAAAATAACAAATTATAAGTCTGACATTACTTGCAACATTAGACATCTCACTAACATCTATCATTTATCCTCAATAATTTCAAGAAACTATACAGACATAGGTTTACTATAAAAAGGGGGGAAGGCCGGCATTACAGTATATATAATAAGAGAGGAATAAGAAAACACGATTCGGGTAAATAATGAGGGAGAAGATGTGGTATGGTATATAAGAGATGAATAAGAAAACACGATTTGGGTAAATAATGAGGGAGAAGATATAGTATGGTATATAATAAAGAGAGGAATAAGAAAACATGATTCTGGTAAATAATAGGGAGAGAAGATATGGTATGGTATATAATAAGAGAGAACATGATTTTGTTATCATCAAGTAGCGTGTGGCTGTTCCATCTCGGAAACATTGTCATTTTGTCTTCGGTAATCTCTTTATATTGTTGGTTACATAAAGTCTTTCATGGAATTTAAGTGTTGATATCAGATAATTTAAAGTCTTTCTTAAATCTATGTATCAACACGATAATGAGTCCTTCATGTAATTTTTTTTGTTTATTTAATACATATAGATTCTACCACTGCATCGAGTGTGATACGATATTGATCCACTCGAGACAGTTAAATTTTCAAATTTAACTGTCAAGAGTGGATAAATATCGTATTACACGAGATTTGGTGGTGGAATCTGTTTCTCTAATGATTTTCAAAAAATATGCAGGCAAACTTATTCTGTCTTTTCGAATGATCTGTAAAAAGATGTGTTCTTTCTATGTGACGTCATCAGGCATGGTCGCCTCTTTTCATGCCGTCACAATAGGAAATTCAGAGGAAAGCAATTAAATTCGACGTCATAATCGGATTTTAACCAATGAAGAACTGAGATCAAACGAACCACACGTTGATTAAATTTTGTTTATACAACAGGTGAGGAAAGGGATAAATTGACGAAGAATTAGAGAAATATAGATTCTACCACTGCATCGAGTGTGATACGATATTTATCCACTCGAGACAGTTAAATTTTCAAATTTAAAACGCGAGGCTCGCCGAGCGTTTTTAATATTTAAAATTTAACTGTCGAGAGTGGATAAATATTGTATTACACGAAATTTGGTGGTGAAATCTGTTTCTCTAATGATTTCCAAACAACACGCAGGCAAATGTATTCTTATTTTTCGAATGATCTGCAAAAAGATGTGTTCTTTCTATGTGACCTCATCAGGCATGGTCGCCTTTTTTCATGCCGTCACAATAGGAAATTCAGAGGAAAGCAAGAAAATTCGACGTCATAATCGGATTTTAACCAATGAAGAACTGAGATCAAACGAACCACACGTTGATTAAATATTTTTTATACAATGGGTGCAGAAAGGGATAAATTGACGAAGAATTAGAGAAAACTCGATACAGATTTTTTGTTTGATAAATGACGAAATCGTCGTAATGTTACATCCGTGGAATGTAATCTCCGTTGACGCTTTGATGAAGAGGGGACTCTAGGATGAAATTTGAAAACAATAGGCGGGACAGGAGTTCTGAGTAAAATAAAAGGCAGGATGAGATTATTTGCCAAAAAAAAGGCAGGATGACAATTTATGTAAAAAAAAAGTCAGGATAAACCAAAAAAAACAGGCAGGACCGAATAGAGTGAAAAATAAAAAGGCAGGACTGAATAGAGGAAAAATAAAAAGGCAGGACTAAATTCTTCATCCTAGCACCCCCCCCCCCCCCTCGCCCCACCTCCCCCCATAAAAATCAAATGGTAGATCCCTTAATGCCATATTGCACAGTGGTTTTATTAAGGTTTTTAAAAGGAAATTAAGACTTGTTCGTTACATTTATTAACAAAATCTTGAACAAATGTTTTTTTTTTTTTGCAGTAAAAAAAAACAATAATAAAGATCAAATAAAACTATCTTACACTATGATATATCTTGGATATCCGATATTCATAATAGTAAATACAAATAAAGGAAGATGTGGTATGATTGCAAATGAGTAAACTCTCTTCCATAGACCAAATGACGTAGAAATTAACAACTACAGTTTACCTTACGGCCTTTAAAAATGAACAAAACCCATACCGCATAGTTAGCTATAAAAGGCCCCAAAATGACAAGTGTTAAATAATTCGAGTCCAACTAGAAAATTAACGGCTTGATTTATGTACAAAACAATAAACGAAAAACAAATATGATATATACATAGCAACAAACGACAACCTCTGAATTATAGGCTCCTGACTTGGGAAGGCACATACAGAAAGATTAATATATACAAGGACATGAGGGGGGTTGTCAAATATATCGATGGTATGTAATTTCACGGAGGTAATATATCAATGTGTAGAAATTCATATGTCAATAGGTCATGCATATTAATCTTCTTTTAATACGTCTGTAAAAAAATGTGTTCTGATCTTTTTATCTCATAATATGAATCATGGATCCCATGTGGTTTACATCTCATTGGGATAAACACTCATTTATTTTCAACTCACAAGAAACACGCATGTTTATGTGAATTAATAAATTTAACCAGTAAAATACCATAAAAAGAAGTGATTTCAAAGATTTCAGCGTTTTTTATTTTAAAAAATCACACTATCAGATAACAACGTCGAAGGAAATAAAAATGACGTTAACTATCTATTTTTATCTCAACTGTAACGAGTATTACTCACATAACGGTAGAATATTACATGTTGAAATTTATATGTTGGATACTATTTACTATAAAGATGCTCCATGATCGTCCTCTAATTTATATTTTATCATATCTTACTCGAATCTTAGATGCTTTACCTGAGACATGAGAGAAGCAGTGTTCAGTGTTAAGAAAATCAAACATATATTGGTGATATAAATGATTGGAAAGTTTTTTGCTTTGTGAAGGTACTAGTATAATAAGCCCCCTACCCCTCTTCTCACGGGGGTATAAGACTTCTTTTGAAAAATTCCTGACTGTTTGAACTGAGATTTCCCAAATTCTGGGTAACAGGTGTTTGTTTTGGTATATCTTGTCAGCTGAGATATTTAAGACTTTTTGTTCACTATATATTATACTTAATCACTGACATAAAACACTTACAGTGACTATAGTAAATTTTCATTATAAATATGTGTATCCTCGTCAGGCTCATAGTTTTTACTAACTGATAATAAATATATAATAAAATAATACTACACACAAATAATAATATCGTATGGTCCGAGCTATCTGTGGGCCGTATTAACCCATAACAATATACCTTTGTAAGCACTAAGGTCAAGGGCGCTACAAAATGTGCTAATATTTAAACTTCGAAAAAACGGGAAAATTAGTAAAGACTTGCTTTGGATATTGTCTGTACATGTATGCTATGGTAAGCTTTATTATTTACAAAAGCTGGTTTATCATAATTTGTTGAATGAATCCGCACAATAATGAGTCCGTTTTTACAATCAAAACTGCTCGGAAAGCTGTAACATACAACAATAAAAACCTGCCAAAATGTGTAATTTCTTTCTGTTATCAGATGACCATTGTATGTATCGGTCCGATCCTTCGCTTTGTCTTGTCTAATCTTTTTCAAATTTAGGTTTCAACTCGACTCCTAACAAATTTATTGTGTTTCTTCCAAATCTAAAGCACTTTTATAGATGATCATTGCTGAAATCTTTTTTCATAGGATAAATCCCTCTGAAACAATTCATTTTTCGAGCTTAAACAATTTTTTTCGTTGCTGCAGCAGCCATATTGGATGTTTTAATCATATGATTAAAATTTAAAACACCTTCATGAAATATATTAAATTTATCGTCAGTTTTGGCATTTTTAACACTGCGTTAAAATTAACGACAAGTTAAACAACACACTAATCATATGATTATTTTTAATCGAATGATTAAGAAATTTTAACGACTGGTTAGTACTAACGACAAGTTGAACAACAGCCCCAAGAACATCTACAAGTCTTTACCGAAATATGGAAAAGGTCAAATCGAAGGTGATTGAGAATTAACCTCTTTCCAGTGTTTTTGCATGATCTACAATAAATATTAAACCTCTAAAGATGTAGTGTCCTTTTCTCTAGTCCAGGTTTTGTAACTGCCGCTCAATTTTTAATGGAACAGACTGTTCTGAAAGGTGAAACTACAAAGGTAAAAACAATTTCAACATAATCAGCTATAAGACGACAAGCTTTTTAGAAAAGCTTTTACTTGTGCTCTATATCTTCTATAATTGTTGTGAAAAAATTTAACAGGAACAATCACCGATCTGCTATCAATATCTAAATCTCTGATTAACGAAAAACATTCAGATATGGAATAAGACATTTACTGATGCTATCTCTAACATGGGACAGGAAAAGGAATATGGCGCAGGGGTTAAGTTAGTTATTTTTAAAGATATAAACCCTTGCTCCCAAAAAATATTAAAAAACAACAACACAAAATAATGGCCAATTATACCGTATTAAAGAATTAAAAGAATACTTTAAATCATAAATTATTCTGAAAATCTTCATATAATTGCTAGTATATTTTTATACAGCTTAAAATCCATTTCTCCTGATGCATTTCATGTGAAAAATCAAGAGACATTATTCCCGTTCAATTTTCTATTTTTTCAAATGGTAATTTTATTTTTCAACAAAAAGTCAAAAGACATATCAGTAATAATTCAATAATTTTGATATATCTAACATTGTCTATTGAAAAAGACGTACGTCTTTTATGTTGTTAATTTGACTTTTAGCAGCTAATATTATTAATTAGATAACATTTAAGTAAACATAGTTTTTGCAATGGGTCAGAAAAAGCTACAAGTGTATTTGAAATATTTGCAAAAGTTAGATTACTTTCTAAAAAACATATTTATGTCTTACAGAACTATAGTTTGCTACACATAACAATTGTTGGATGTCGGAAAGAAACCAAATATAATGCAAGAGCGTTCAGTCAGTAGGTATAAAGCTCACCAGTCATATTAAAAATACCATGGATCAGTACTCTTAGAATTTTTCATGTATGTTTTGGCTGTTTTGTCGGGTGTCTGGTCAGTATTTCCTCCTTTTCCGTAATTTTGAGCGTCCATGTTGGTAAATTCGTCGAAGGCCGAAGGAATTACCGGCGGCGGCGCTCCTCTTAACAACGTGTCCTGTTGTATAACATTTTGATTATTTCCTTTCTGTGAATCGTCAGCTATGAATTCACTTAATGCAGGAATTTTCTTCAAAATATTTGAAGAGCTAAATTCGGGTAATATGTCTGTCGGCGGAAGAGGCGGCGGCTGATTAAATTGACTAAGTCTGCGTTTAGTTTCAATTGCAGGCCTCAAGTATCGTCCATCACTGATATGCTGTTGTTGAAATAATTGTGTTTTATCGGCGATTTTCGGTTGTTGAAACATTTGTGAGTTATCCCCTACACTTTGTTGTTGAAAAAATTGTGAATCGAGTAGCGAAGGTTTCCGGTACATTGATCTTGGTTCAGTCGTTAAAAGCTCGAACTGACGAAAATCATGTTTGTTTGCGAAGTTTTTATCAAAATAAGGAATATCTGTTCGAGAGTTGATTCGCTGCATTCCAATACTTGGATCGATGAATTCTTTCAATCTTGGTCTTCTTAGTCTTCTTTGTTTTCGTTTAGGCTTCTTTGAAGTCACCACAACTTTTTGAGCTTTCACTCTATCAGCCTTTATTTCATCAGCTTTTAATGTGTTTGTTCTCATATTGTCTGTGCTTATGTAGTTTGCATTGAGTTCTTTTACCTTCAACAGTCCATCGTTGTCTTCTTCATTTGCTTCACTCAGCACTGGAGCTTCTTGTATCACAGCCGAAGGTATAATTCTTTTTTGTTGTCCTTGTCGTCCTTGTCGCCCCCTGTGCTTGTCAAGAATGTCGTTACGTGGTTCGTAAGGCGATGGGTTTATTGGCCCATCAATGGAAGATTTAATAGAGGGTTGATCACTTGGTCTTGGTCGTCGTCCCTGTCTGCCCCTGGGATGTTCAAACTTTCCGTTTCGTGGTTCGTTAGGTGATGGGCTTATGGACCTATCAATGGAAGATTTAATAGATGGCTTTTGTTTTCGTCGTCGTCGTTTCCTCTTTTTACGAAGACTAGTACCTTGTGCTTCTCCCATGGATTGGACAGCGTTACGTTTCCGCAGGACGTGATGTCTTTCGCCATCCGGATAAAAGTCCTTCAAGTTGTTGAATTTTTCAATAATAGTTATTTCCTCTGGGCTGAGACTATGCTTAATTTTCCTTAGTAGTTTTTCTTTATAATACTTCGGTAAATTGTTTAACTTCTGGCCATTGGCTGCTGAAATGACAAAAATGGAAATCAACCTTCAGCATAAAAAGAACTGTCATCACTTTAATATATTTTATGCTCAAAATGATACGGTAATAATACATACAAATTTAATACATTTATTTGTTTTATCAGTTCAAACTAAAACATTCTATAGTACGTATACAAGAAAAGAAGACCCGGAGCATAGCATTGCGACAATAACCCAACATCATAGTGAAACAAAAAACATGTGAAACAAAAAACATGTCATTTAATTGCGTTTGAATAATTGCATTTATTAATCAGCAGTTCATACGTTAAACAATTATACGTGCATGTTGATATGTACATGTACATGTACACAATCGGATCTGTATGTAAATGCAAATGTGCAATGCGTTCACATGGTTTTTATACCAGTGGTGTATCATTGTCACATTTTTACAGTTTGGTTGTTCTGTAACACTACTGTCCCAGGTTAGGGGAGGGTTGGGTGCCTACTAATATGTTTAATCCCCCACATTCCTTATATGCCTGTCCTAAGTCAGAAGCCTGTAGTTTCAGTGGTTGTCATTGGTTCATGTCTGTCATATTTGTTTTTCGTAAATTGTTTTTGTTATAAATTAGGCCTTTAGTTTTTTAATTGAATTATTTCATATTTTTCAGGTCAGGGCCTTTTATAGCCGACTATACGGTATGGGATTGTTGTCACATTTGAGGGTCGTATGGTTGCCTATAACTGCTAACATCCACATCATTTGAACTTTGGTGGATAATTGTCTCATTAGCAATCATACAACATCTCCTTATTTTCATATTTTCAATAAAAAAATTGTATTTTCCAAGATTGAACTTGATAGTCGAGTCATGGAAGGGGCTTAATTCGCCTTTACCATTGGTCCAATTATTACACTAACTTCTGTGTCTTGTCTATGAAGGAACTTAATTCGCCTTTACCATGGGCCCAATTGTTTCACAAACCTGTGCGTCTTGTCATGGAAGGGGGTTAATCCGCCTTTACCATTGGGCCAATTATTGTTACACCAAATGTTGTGTCTTGTCATGGAAGGGGCTTAATTTGTTTTACCATTTGGCCGATTGTTATACTACCTTGAGTTTCTTGTCATAAAAGGGGCTTTATTCATCCTTTACCATTGTGTCACTTGTTACACACACGTGTCTGTCTTGCCATGGAAGGGGAATAATACGCCTTCATGAATGGACTAATTGTTACACTACTTTGAGTGTCTTGTTATAGAAGAGACTTAATCCGTCTCAACCATTTGGCCAATTGTTACACAAATAGTGTATGTCTTTTCATAGAAAGCGCCTAATTCGCCTTTACCATGGATCCAATTGTTACACAAACGTGTGTGTCTTGTTATGGACGGGGCTATCTCCGCCTTTACCATTGGGCAAACTGCTACACAAACTTGTCAACCTTGTGTGTCGTGTCATGGCAGGAGCTTAATTCGCTTTAACCATTGTTCAAATTGTTACACAACTTCACCACTTGGAACTGTTGGTTCAATAGTTCGATGTAAGCAGCAACCTTCTATCAATGAAACCATGATAAAAGATCACACGATATCCATGCATACTCTCAATCAGAAACTAATACAATCTCTTTCTTTTGTACTGTTGTGTCATCTAATGTCTAAAACATAATTGATCAAAATTTTCCATATCGTAAGAATGTTCCTACATCACCAAAACCTATTCATAAATGAATTACCCAAAAAGGAAGTCATGCATTTATTATAAGCATTACACTGACCATGAAACGAATTCTTGATTAAAACCCATCAGAAGGTCATTTGAAAGAGCCTTAAACTCTTTACAATATTCTAAATTTGTAAGAGAATGATCATCCCTTTGTTTATGAAAAGTACTTAAAATCATGAAAGGAAAGCAAACCATTTTTGTCACAACACTCGACAGTCAGAAGGCATTTGACGTTGTTAGTCACGAAATACTGATGGACAGGCTATATCATTACGGACTAAATCTGAATTTGTGGAACATTATTGAGGAGCTATATAGCGGGGTAACATCAACAGTAAAATGGAAAGGAGAAACAAGTACAAGCTTTGATATACACCAGGGCGTGCGTCAAGGAGGTGTCATATCTACTCACCGATATAAGGCCTACATAAATGAACTGCTTCTAGATCTGCAAAAACGAAATCTGCGTACTCATATAGGCAACAATTATGTGGGATGTCCTACTTGTGCAGATGACATCGTACTTTTATCCCTCAATAAAGAAGAAATGCAAGAAACGCTGAACATTGCCGATAACTACTCAAAAGATCATCGATTTAACAACCATCCGCAAAAGAGTAATGTTATAATAAAGACTGGAAAAATATATAACGATCCTGAAGATAGCGATTCTTTTAAAATTGGCAACAATGATTTAAATTGTTCTGATCGTACAACTCATCTAGGACTCACAAGATCAACAAAAGATGAAACCAGAATAAATGTAGAAGATCGCACCCGTTTAGCAAGAAGAACGTTGTACTCTCTCATAAAGACGGGTGTACATGGCTCAAATGGTTTAAACCCTAAATCATCATATAGGATCTATAATGCATACGTCCTACCAAGGCGCTATAAGGGCTTGAAACTCTGTATGTGAACTCTAAAGAAATGACGCTTCTATCAAGCTTCCATCTCGATATTTTGAGAAAACTACAGTCTCTTCCTAAAAGGACAGCATGTGCATCAGTATACCTACTTCTGGGAGCTCTTCCGCTTAATGCTGAAATTCATAAAAGACAACTTAGCCTCTTATTTGGTGTTCATAACAGCAACAATGAAACTATTAGATCACTAGCTATGCGTCAATATATGTCCGGCAAATCAACAAGATTCTTTACCAAAACAGCAGAAATTTTAGAGATGTACAACCTACCTTTCTTTCTTGAATTATTCGAAAAGAGGTATACAAAAATAGAATGGAAAAAAATGACAAAATCAACAATAAACAAACATTGGACTAACAAACTACGCTTAGAATGTGAAGAAAAATCAACTCTACAAAATTTAGCAATTTCAAACTTAGGAATAGGTGTCACACATCCTGTTTGGGCTACAGTTTCCTCATCAGTCTCGGACATCAAAAAAGCAATTACAAAAATTCGCTTGTTAACGGGAACCTATCTATTACAAGCTCATAGACACAGATTTAACCAGGCCGAAGTAGACCCGATTTGTCCAAATTGTGGAACTGAAACGGAAGACCTATGTCATGTGTTCACAACCTTTCATTGTATATGAACATCATGGTAGCATTATATACTCCAATCAAAAACTTTATGTTGAGTATTATATCTGAAACAAAATGGACAACTCACTTCAGTAACCGTGATGCAATATGTACACTTATAGTAAACTGTCAGAACTTTACAAATCTGGGCATTATACCGAACAACCAAGAAATACTTGGAAAGATTGAAAACATGTCAAGAATATACTGTTATGAAATTCACAAAAAGAGATTATCCACCGAGATATAACACTTCCCTGGGTCTCACAGCTCCCCATTAAGACACCAATGACAATATTTACTACCATGTGTCTATGTGATATATATTATCAATAGTAAAATAGTAGCCGTTTAAAACTTTAGTATGAACTATATGCTTAACTATCTGCAGCATTAATATCTGCTTGCCTACCTCTAATATACAACATATAAAAGCCTAAATGTGCGTTTAGCTTGACTTTTTAAATCTGAGTAGAACTAACTTTTATAACGCAAACATATATCATTGCTTATTAACAGAGATGTCAACATTATCTAGAAACTATCCATCTTTATCATCTCTGGAATGCAAAGTTTTTTTAGACTTACTCTACTAGGCTTTCATATGAGTGATGTCTCTTAACACATAAACTATATCCAGTTTCTTCAACAGTCAAACTAGTGCCGACTCATAGATTTTATTAAGCTAGACATTGCTTTTATCATCGAATCTAAATCCTGGCGAACGTATGGGTTATTCGTGTATATAATATGTACATTTCTGTAAAAAAAAATTGTGCATGTGCAACGTTCCGGTGGAGAATTTCTTTTCAACATTTTAAATTTGGAATAACTTGTCAATACGTTAACATTTTTAAAAAAACTAATCCGTTAAGGGAACACAGCTAGCAGGAGGGATTTACATAACGAAAAAGAAGAAGAAAGGGATTATCTTACATACTTGTATGTTTGTATAAAAGTCTGGTGTATTCTTTTGTTCATATAAAATATTCATTGTAATTAATGACTTTACATGTATTATATGTGATTTATCGGAGAGTGCAAATCTGAATTGCATAATTTGTGTCCAGTCCATTTGTCTCAGACAATTAACTATGTGTTCACTAATTACAAGTAAGACAGTTATCATCACGGATAACGCAAGAAAAATGTCAACGTTTGGTATCAAAATGTGTAAGTCATATGATGTCCACGACAATGTTTATTACAAATGGAAATATCATTCTCTCTATACAAAGGCTTTACATTCACAAACATGTAATTTCAATGTGAATGTAGGTAGCAATATTACATGGTAATACAAGTTTAGAAAAAATGACAAATAATAAACTAAAACTATCATGAGGGCTTTATTTAAAGAGACCGATTGAAAAAAAAGGTAAATATTTTCCTTTCATTAATTCCTTTCATGTCTCTGTAAAAGGAAACTTGATAATATAAAATGCTATGTTATACAAATTATAGTCAGAATTGCATACTTTCTTTGAAGAATGTTTTTCTTTGCAAGCTATATGGTTTTTTCATTCTAATAAAATTGAGAATGGAAATGGGAAATATGACAAAGAGACAACAACCCGACCAAAGAGCAGGCAACAGCCGAAGGCCACCGAGAAAATATCGCACCCGGAGGTGGTCCTCAGCTGGCCCCTAAATAAAATTGTGTACTAGTTCAGTGAAAATGGACGTCACACTAAACCCCAAAACATATAAATGAACTAAAATAAAAAAAAACAAACAAAACTAACAAAGGCCAGAGTCTCCTGGCTTGGGACACGCGCAAAAACTCTATTTTGACCTTTGGCGTGACAGGAATTGCAAACCCTGTCATTTGTTTTGTTGTGTATTGTCTCATTTAAAAAAAAGGATTATTAAAATAATATATTGTAATTTCTGACATGAATACCATATGTAAATGTTTTAATGTGATAATTGGCAATTTCCCAAGCATATCCATAATGTCTGAATAATTATTAGAAACAATTTTCAATGAAACAGTTATCTAACAAACCAAGAATCAGAACAGACAGCCATCCTATAATACTTTCTCCTCACTGTTTAAATCCGGAAACTTGACAGATGTACTCATGCGAATGCTTAATTACAATTTTCAAGATTTGTTTTCATATTTATTTTTTTTCTACAGCATACAGATAAAGTATTGGATATCATGGCCCAGAAACACTGTTTCCGTACTAAAATTAAGCGAAATACTTATTCTTACTCGTCTTTGATTAGCCGTCCGGTTCATGAACGAGTTATCGTTCGAATTATCTTCCTTTGGTCGGTCGCCAGTTTTGGACCTGTTGAATACACCTTATATATAAAAATAAAAAGAAGTGGTATGATTGCCAATGAGACAATTCTCCACAAGAGACAAAATGACACAGAAATTAACAACTATAGTTCACCGTACGGCCTTCAACAATGAGCAAAGCCCATACCGCATAGTCAGCTATAAAAGGCCCCGAAATGACAAATATAAAACAATTCTAACGAGAATACTAACAGCCTAATTTATGTACAAAATACTGAACGAAAAACAAATATGTTACAAAGCCACAAACGACAACTACTGAATTACAGGCTCCTGACTTTGGACAGGCACATACAGAATGTTGCGGGATTATACTAGTTTGAAGGCACTAACCCTCCCCTAACCTGGGACAGTGGTGTAACAGCACAACATAAGAACAAACTATAAAAATCAGTTGAAAATGGCTGAACTCATCAGACGGATACAAATAGAAATAAATCTAACAAAAACACAGACTGAACGTGGCAGGGTACTTATACACGCCACAACAAAAATCGCTATTTGTCTGGCATTACTGGACAACACAAAGGTTACCGTAAAATTTTGACGTCAAAATAGAAAATGTCTGACGCCACAAAGGAAAAGTGATTGTTGTACGACGTCAATAGCTCAAGTGTTGCAGATTCTCGGGTCAAGTGTCGCAGATTCCCAAATAGCAATAAGGTCTATTGACGATATTATTTTCTTGCGTCCGAAGTGTTTCATTAGGAACGCTTGCAACCGAATATTTGAAAGCCAAGTTGAAGAGCTATATAACCAAAAAAGGACCTAAAGAATGGCCAAATTCATCAAAGGTCAACTTTGCTTGAAGGACATTTCAAGAATTGTTTTGAAACATTTAAAGGTTATTTTGCCAACTGGCTGCTATCTTCATATAAAAATCGTTCATGTGTGTTGTTTTTCCTTCATTTTGTATACGTGACATGTCATATATTTACAATTTCGTTTTTCTTTTCTTTCAAAGAAAAATCCAGATAAACTTTCTTACCTGCAATAAAGAAAACTAAAGCAATGATTGAAATAAACAGCTCCTTCATAATTATTATCACTTCTCGTTCTGAGGAGACGTTCCTATCAAATGCTTTCTAAGAATCCTCTAAACAAATGCACGTTTTATATCTTGTTTAATGTAATTCATTGTAATTAATCATTCTAACGAAATGTAATAAGCGATGCATTTGAAGTTTATATCATTTACTAATTTGAAAGTTGTAAAAATGACAGACTAAATTGATACTTGTTCGTGGTAAACGTTTGTCGTTTAGGGGGAAATTCGTTTTTTCTTCTTATAATTAATGTTTTGAAAAAAATCAAGTGACAAGACTGCCATGTTTCTTGTATCCGACAATTAAATAGTCTTTTGTAACAGGTGAAGTATAAATCGTCAGATAAAAAGGAAACATCTGAGTATGTACTTATATATAGATAAAACATCAAGACGCGAGCTATATTTATTACAAATGATGTGTCACTTTTTTGAAGAAGACAACACTATATGACAAATACAATGTGATAACATAACTGAAAACAAATTGTATTGGCACTACCAAGTTGAACCCTTTTGACAGGAGAATGGTTCCTGTTCCTGTTAAATTGACGGATCTGAATTGAATTTGTCCATTACCTAAAAAAAGAAAACAAATAATTACCGTAACCGTTACGCTGGCGATACTTTTTACTTAAAACATCATAGTTCTTTAATTATACAACGGACTTCTAATCCAGGGAACTATTTCAGTTTCATACAGGAAACTTGTTAAAACATTTACAACAAAAGAGACGGGATCTCGCCCTTTTAAATTTAATTTTCCTTTTTGGACGGTGATGTTCCATTGGTCGGATTAAATAAAGGCTTGATTGTACTAGAATGTTTCAGTGTTTGTTCTAATTTACTTTTCTTCACGTAAATTTGGTATGCGGAATAAGAAGAAAATAATGTTGGCATTATAACGACAAATGCTTCAAGATCGATCTAATTTACATATTTTCAATATAGAAACCTGACCTTAAAATCTTACTTACTGGAAATCAAAATACATGGAAATATCAGTGTGTTTAAAATAATCAGGTATATTTGGTTTCACCTGTTATCAACAGCATTATGATAGAACATGTGGAGCAGGAATTGCTTTCCCTTCCGGAACACCTGAGATCACACTCGGTTTTTGGTGGGGTTCGTTTTGCTCAGTCTGTTGTGTTCTATGTCATATAAGAATAAGGAGATGTGGTATGATTGCCAATGAGACAACTATCCGCCAAAGTTCAAATGAAGTGGATGTAAGCAATTATAGGCAACCGTACAGTCTCCTACAATTAGAACAACCCATACCGTATAGTCGGCTATAAAAGGCCCCGGCATGAAAAATATGAAACAATTCAATCAAGAATACTAACGGCCTAATTAATAACAAAACAATTTACGAAAAACAAATATGACAGACATGAAGCAACGACAACCACTAAACTACAGGCTCCTAACTTGGGACAGGCACATAAACAATGTGGTGGGGTTAAACATGCATGTGAGCGTTCAAACCCCCGCCCTTTTTAACCTGGGACAGTGGTGTAACAGTACAACATAAGAACAAACTATAGAAATCAGTTGAAAAAGGCTTAACTCATCAGATCGATACAAAGCAGAAAAACAACAAACAAAAACACAGACCGGACGTTGCAGGATATTTATCTATCACTCATCCCTAACAACAAATAAGACACTAAGTACAGATCTAGAGCACTCGCAGTTACTGACAGCTAGTTCAAAGCCAATAACTAATAAAAAAAAATCATGTATCTAAGATTGAAATATCAATCAGTACATATCAAATATCCAATGGATTTAGTGTAAAGCCGTCATTAACAATCAGAGAAAAACATGACCTGGTATAATGCCAAAATATAGGTATCGACAGATTGCAGTACCGTGAAAGTATATATGTGTATAACAATAATATCTAATATGGTTTTAATTTACTGATAACAAAATCAATATTTATACCAATAAACACAATATTCAAAGATTTAAGTACAGAATTGTTAACGTTTTAGAATAAGTTTATTTAAAGGATTTATAAGTTTACCCGGACTGTATCTAAATTTTTTCAGGGCTCGCTTAACAACATAACCGTAAATTTAGGATGTGCTATTCCGTTTGAAATAAGTTTTCTGCAGGTACAAAAACTGTGGTAACGAAATCCCTGACTTAATAATTTTGGTACTTTTTTCAGAAAGTTTATAACCTCTTGGTCTTGAACGATGTTGGGGTCCCCTGTAATTACATGGCCATAGGTAACACATCACAGAATCATGTTGAAGGAGCATTATTTTCTATACTAACGTCTGATGTAACTGACGTATAAAAGTTTAAAAATAAACTTCAGAAGTTCTACTGGGTTTTTATACGAATAAGAAATTTTAGGTGGCTCAATGTTATCAAAATATGGAGGTATAAAGTTTTGAACGGTAGAGTCATAAAAAATACTAGACAACTTAATAAAATCAATACCTCTTAGTGTGTTTTATTTTTAGAAAATACTTTTCATGATCTTCAGGTTTGTCAATTTGAGGGAACAGTCTACGGTTACAAAATGCTGTAATAAAACGTGTACACTCATCTTTTGGACTGAAAACGATATTGTATCACAACCGTTATAAATATTATGTAATTTACTAATTGACATTTTGACACGGTTTGCATAATAATTGATGTCTAACAATGTTTTTAAATATAGATAAAAAAATCATCAAGTATAAAATTAGAACGATGTTTATCGTTGATTGCGGTTAATGCGATTGCCATGAGACCTATGATTGCGTTGTCTTTTATCAACAATAGTCACAATATCAATAGAGGAAGTTTTAGATATGTTCCTTGGCCCATGATATTGTCATTTGGACCTAGGGGATACGTTGTCTGTAGTCGTTTAATCCAAGACAGTTCGCAAATTTTACAGGAATCTTCAAACTGTTTATGTGATTGTCCTTGTTGTTTACGGACGGTTTGAAGTGGTTGGAATTTTATAAATTTAATATTGTTTTTGTGTTTTTCCAAATGTTGGTAAATTAACTTTTGAATTTCTTAGGTTTGCGGAAGCGGTACAGATGCTCTTGTGTTCATTTGAAAAATTCACGTCAAGTTTACTCTACTTAAATACTGCATTTCGGTGTGGTTCATGTTAAAAGATATATGAGGCTTTGGTTATGTTTTGTTTACCATTGTTTGTCTTTTGGTCGTTTTTGGTTTTTGCCATGTCGTTGTCAGTTTGTTATCTACATTTTTGGTTGTTTGAATATTACTTTGGTATCTTTCGCCTCTCTTTAAAAACAAAACTATGAAATAAGTATTCTAAGTGTATGCAAGGACAGCTTATTTATTATTCTTTCCTTTCACTATTTTTTTAGGTCCCAATTTGTTATATACCTCCTAATATTATCTGACCTATATATACACTTCTAGGAATATCAATGGTTAAAATCGAACAAGTGGAACCGTATATTAGGTCAGTTGGCGTGTTTTGTTTTAGATACACGATCAATGGGCTGGGTTTATTTTAAACACACGGTAAATAGTAGAAATCAGTTCATTAAAAAGACAGAATTATTTTCTAATTCATTGTAAACATACAAAATTATGCTTTTTTCTTTCTTTAATTCAATACATGTTTTTGAGACGCTGACTGTAAATAATTGAATGTTATGTTTAATGTTTCTCACTGTAAATAATTGAATGTTATGTTTAATGTTTCTCACTGTAAATAATTTAATGTTATGTTTAATGTTTCTAACTGTAAATAATTTAATGTTATGTTTAATGTTGTATTAAAATTATGATATCAAGGTTTACAACTACATGTAGGGGGCCTCGGTGGCCGAATGGTCTAAGTAGTTACTAATGTAATCACTAGCCAATCAACACTGAGGTTGTGAGTTCGAACCCCGCTCGTGCGGGTGCACTCGACTCCAATCTTAATTGACTAGGTTTGTCAGTTTTCCTATCAAAGGTCGGTGGTTTTCTCCGGGCACTCCGGCTTCCTCCACCAATAAAAACTGGCCGTCACGAAATAGCCCAAAAGCGGTGCTTAAAAGTGGCGTTAAAACACAAAAAATCAAAAATCAATCAAATCAACTACATGTACATCTAAATTCCCCATATTAAGATTGTCGGCAAGATTATTTCGTTACACAATGTGCTAGTGACTTAATACGATAGGTGTACGGGGTCCGTAAATTCCATATGGGTCTCGAGTTCTCTCTCTCTCTCTCTCTCTCTCTCTCTCTCTCTCTCTCTCTCTCTCTCTCCATATGAATCGTATTAGGTAAATAGTAATCCATAGCCCCATTGTTTTCTATGTTAAATTCTGCAATTTCAAGCATTAATGGCTACTTTGTCATAAGTTCAAACGAAGTGGCAGTCATTTCATGTCAAAACTATACCTTATCCTGACTTGTGCTGAAAAATTCAATATACCTTTAATTGCATATTATAACGCACTGGTTCCCAGAAGTTTAGTAGTACAAAAACAGGTACTTCTGATTTTAACAACAGGTCAAATGTGCCTTCCTATTATAATTTCATATATAGTTTATATTATTCAAAATAAACTTTTAAAAAGGGTTCTACAGTGATATCAAGTCATTAAGCTTTCATTTGATACCAACATTACCCAAATATGTTACTTACCGACAAAGTCACAACTATGCGTAGGGACTATTTTGTTTGAAATATGTACAATGTATTGTATGTTCTTTCTTACCGGGCCCAATGATTGATTCTATACATATACAGAACAATACTTCAGACGCACGAACATTTGAAAATGCCGTTTTCTTTAACAAATTCAATTCAATTTAAAACAAGTTCCTGTTAAAGGCTTTTCATGTCTTAAGTAAGCAAACACAGAAGAAATGATCGTTTTGTTGATACGTATTCCCAAATTACATATTATGTTATACTTTAATAATGTTCAATTCTTTACTTTCTTTATGTATTTACTGTTTTAAATTAGTTTTGAATAAACAATATTAACTAGTAGTTTTATTATTTTAGAATACATAACAATATAATGTTTTAAATATGGCTGCTGTATGTATATGTAATATAACTTGTCTCTCACAAAAAAAAACTTATTTTT